CTTCCTCTCCCTCTCGTCTCGATCTCTCCTTTCTCTATTGTCCCTGTCTGGTCTTTCATCTCTTCTGTCTCTGTCATCTTTCCATTCTCGCCTTTCTCTGAAGTCTCTGTCTTCCCTCCGGTCCAATCCCCCATCCCTTTCCCTTTCCTCTCGCCAGTCCCTTCTTTCTAAGTCTTCCCTGTTTTTCCTTCCTCTGTCCTCCCTGTCATCTTTTCCATCTTTCCTCTCTTCTCTGCGGTATCTATCATCTTGTGGAGGCCCTCGGGGTAAAGATCCACCTCTCTTATCAACATCTGACGGCAGACGGCTCCGTCTGTCCACGTCCACAGGAAGCCGTGTGTGAGAGTCCACATCCAGAGGTGCACGGTTACTTCGGGAGGCATCGGACGGCGCTCGGTTCCGACGTTCATCCACTTGGGGCAGCCTGAGGGCATTCGCCTTGATGTCAGACTCCCCCCGGGACACTCGCACCCCTGCTTCTGACACCCTGTCCATGTCCATTGGCACAGGGTGTCCATTTTTCACTGGTGGAGCTTTGGAGTGGTTTACATCATTGCTCTCTGCCCCACAAAGACACAAGAGGGAAATACAGTAAGTGTCGTCAAATCTCGAGCCAATTCATTCAACAAAAACAACTAAGATTCGGCCTACCATTCTCTGGGATATCCTTTAGAACCCCTCTTGCAATCAGCTCTTGCCGACTTTTTCTGACAGAAATCTTTCTTTCCAAGGCTGAAAAAAGGAAAACATATCAGTAAGTCATGCATTAAGTAATGCACACAAGTGAAAATAATAATCTGTTGTGCCCAGCATACCTATCGATGTTTCTGTGAACTTCTCACTTGGCTTCTTCTTTCTCCATTTCCAGGGCTTGAAGATCCTTCCCATTTTGGAGAACTTGCCTTTGCGTTTGGTTGGAGGCGTTCCCCCACCCGAGTTTTCTTCTTCACCCGGTGTTGTGCCGTGTTGCAGGTCAACCTCATCGTCTGCAGGAATATGACATATGACAATGTGACAAACAGATGGCCCAGAGTCTGACTGGAGGAAAAAAAATCATTGACTGAGGCAAATATTGCCCTGGATCGAAACTAATGGAACAGCTTTATTTACTTTTTTTTTAAACAGTTTTATTCCTGGACATAAACCTCTTTAACAGCACTGGGTGCTTTTACAATGTAACTGATAAGCCCCTGCTAAGTTGTACCGACAAACCCACATAACCCACATCTTTAGGCATGTCACAGAGCTCTTGGCAAGTTTCTTTGGGCACAATGGAATTTAATATTCACTCTTACTAAATGCCCATATCGGGATGACAGCTGCTAGTGGCCTGTGACTACAGCAAACACTACAGTTCAGTTATCTTCTGCTCCAGTGCAGAGTTAGTGACAGTGTTGAACACTCATGATGAAAAAAACTAAAGACAAAAATATTCCTTCCTGTAGACTATGCACCAATTACAGGATATAAACAACAGCACAATATCCAACATCATTCAGATATAACACCATAATGACCAACCTACGATAATCTTAGATAAACATAAAGTAGTCCCTCTTTTCTCTCTGCAACAGTCACAAGTAATATTCCTGATCAGGTATGCACATCCAAACATAGGGCAGGGCTCCAGCTCTAAGCTCCTGCTTCAATTATTTGTCACAATACAGGAACAAACCTCAAAAACAAGGCCGGTCCAAATTCCACTCTTACTGCCTGCTTAGCAGTCTCAGCTGTCACATGAGAACCAGACAGAGAAACAACTGCTTCGGCTATTATTTACAGGGTGGTGTGAATTAATGAGATTTTTGCCATAGCAGTGATGGGTATAAGATCATGTTACATATTCTGCATTTTGACATCAAGATAGGGTTTTAAAACACAGTAATACCACTGAACAAATAAGTGAACAACTGACAGAAACTGTGACTCAAAGTTCCCAAGTCAGGCTTGATATGCTACTGAAAAACCCAAGACAGCAATAACTGGGTGTGAAACCACTATTATAATTCTTAGGTGATGAGTCGTATGGCAGCGGTTGCACAACCAGGAGCATACAGCCATGCAGAGGGCCTGTGGTTGAAGCACAGGCTGGAGGGAGGGCTTACTCACTTTTCACAAGTTCATTCATTTAATTGTTCTAACATCACTTTGATCACAGTCAGAGTAAGTATAAGTTGTGGTTAATAGGATGCAAATGAAGAAAGAAAGGGGACAATCAACATAAAGTGGGTTGGGGAAGGCAAGACATAAGAACCGATGCAAAACAAGGTGAAAAGTGGTTTCTTTATAGCAACACCATAACTGACTGATTTCAACTGAACGATGTCTGACGGAGGAGGGGGCAACCTGTCTTACCAAACACTCAGCGTAACACATGTGACAAACCTGTAGCATACAGTACCACTGACAGATTAACAGTGGTTTGGTATCTATCATAATCACTACAAAACTCATGTCCGGAGGATGAGTTTTTCAAGGTCAAGGAGATAAATGTAGCCAGTATCACAAAGGAAGGCTTCTTTGGAAAAGAAATTATTTTTGTATATTGAATGGAGGTGTTAATAATTATTGCATGATCTATTAATCACCTACTAGACTTTGATCAATCAGGAACATAGGAGCTGACAGACATTGGTTGTGTCCATGTGGGTTTTTTCAGTGGCTGGCATTCAGTGAGAGATTGATATGCAGTGCGTACAGCGGGTTACCACAGTCAGACCACATGCTTTCAGATAGCACAGAGCGAGTTCACCTATGTCCTGCATCTATGGCTTTTTTTTAAAATCACTCTCCTTCCTGCACTATCTCTGGAAAAAAAACAAAAAACACTCAACTCAAAAATGTGTTCCAAATACAAGTTAAGCTTAAACTTAGTAAGATTTAAGTCTGTTGTTGAGAGAATGGGCGGGCCCATTTTAGTTTTCAACTTGATTAAAGCCATTTCTGGGTTACGGCCGGATAGTCACAGAAAAACAACACTCTTGTAACTCAGGGAGTCACTTACCGCTGCACTGCTGCATATGCTAACTGTACTAGCTGTAGCCACTAGCTAGTTAGCAGTCCTATCAGCTGTCTGAACCCGGACTGTGAGCTCCAAGGACAGGGGGAGCTCAAACACTACTAGTGTGGGTGTGGGAGACCCAGTGGCTCACAGTCTCAATGAAGGGCAGCTGATTTACAGCAGCTCAGACAGGACTATTCTGGGGAGGAGGACACAGTGGGTTCAGGCAGGGACAGGAGAGGCATCCAACGGACGAAGAGGAGCACGTTTGTAGCAAGTTCATTGATAACGTTATACATTATCCATCGTATTGATACGTTCACCCTAACCCCCTAGCTGACTATTGGCTTTATTTAATGATTACTAGTCGACTGGGAAAATCTTTAGTCAGGGGCAGTATGTCTGTATGTCATCTGATTATAAAGAGAGGAATCATTGATTGCAAGTTTGATTTATTTCACTTTCACATCCACACTGGTATTCCTTTTCCAAAGCCAGTTAGAGGCCTGGTCTGGATTTTAGACTTTGGATGTATAAAACCTCTTACAACAGACTAGATCACCTGTTTGAACACCTTAGATGCTTAGATCACCTACAAAAACATTGTTCAAAATGTTGTCAATATGGACATTGTTAGATCAGTTTGATTCTCTACAATTCAATCGTTCTGTTCATTTTACAGAAACTATGAGCACCAAAGTATCAAATAAACATTCTGATAGGATTTCCCAACTTTGCTGAGCAAGACTTTTGTGCAAAGGCCAGTTGAGCGCAGTGACTGAAGCAAATAAAAGCCTGGGTTATTCATTGAAGCTTTAGGTAATATATCGGCCAGTAGTAATCCGATAACAATATATCGTCCGATCGTAATTGGTTTTTATTTGTGATACATATTAAGTCAAACTATGTGTCTAAATTACCTCAAATCTTGGCATTTCTGTACTGCAATTTCTTGTTAGCTGACATATTCAACCGCCAAATTTACCAGTCTATCTCTACAGTATGTGATAGAAGCAATTTCAAACTAATACTCCGATAGCCAACCAACTTCCAAATTCACATAGGATATCATCATCATTTGGAGGGGCCATGCTTATCCCAAACAACTGTCCTTTCACTGTCAGTGTCAATGTGTTCAGTTTGACTGCCACTGCAGCAATGCCATACCATCGCTACTGACAGTTACAACTTGGGAATGAGAAAATGAAAAAACTTATTGTAATGCTACACTCTATCATGTATCACAGGGCAGGGCAGAAAGACGTGTTCTCTTCAGCCTTGACCTCCCTTTTAATTGGCCCTTTGTCTTCAGACAGTTACATTTACCCTGACTGGGAGCAGAGCAAATAAAAGTAAAACCCTTCACAAAGGCAGGTAAGATTAGTTTGTATGTTAAGAAGCAATCATTTGACATTCCTTACTCTGTGTATATCCCTGTCTGCTACCTTTAACGTGTGATCACTGTATTTCTGTGTTGTTGCAGTCTGTTTTGTATACATTGTATATAATGTATGTCAAAGTCCTTCTCCACAAAATGTGAAAATGATGTCTACCCATTGTATGAAGTAAAGATGCTGTTGCACGTATTTGTGAAATCCCAAGCTGAAATACAGGCATACAGAGGTCAGTGAACTGTGAACAAGTCCACACAGCTATTCCTGACACATAACAGACACCAGTGGGTGTTAAACTGGGAGCGGTGGGGTGGCAGTGAACTGGGAGAACACTGATGTGGCTGCAACAGAAGCAAAGTGTGATGTAGTGACCTTGTGTTACAGTAGAGCATGACAATCTGAGATGGCTGCTTTTCACAGAACAGCCAGAGAATTAAAAGGCACAGACCCCTAACAGATGAGATGAAAGAAAAATAAAATCACAACACTCAAACAAAAAGCTAACACCCAGGCCTCAGGTATGCATTTCTAAACTGACATTAAACAGGGGAGCTTGTTTATAAAAACCAAAGACCGTAGTAACAGCCTATGCTTCTGTAGCTGTTCAGCCATTCAAACTCAAATGGCTAATAAAAGCATGAAACCTGCACTAACCACCCGCCACTAATACAGTGCCCCCGTCACATGACATGTCGACACCAACTACCCACACTAGCACACCAGAGGCAAAAATACATTTTGCATGGAGAGCAAATATGTAACGAAGACGTTCTCGTGTAACTTGTTTTATTCAGGCAAGAGTGTTGAAACGTGTTTAAACAGAAAACCCACAGTAAAATATCAAGTACATAAAACAGGCCAATAGCAGGCCATGACCTACAGCTATGTGCTGTGAGATTATGCAGAAAAGAGGTGACAGACGGGGTGGCCTGACAGCAAGCTGCAAGCTGTATTATTAAAAGGAATCGCCAGTGTGCAAATAGAACCGGAGACAGGACCCTCCTTTTGACAGCAAAAACTGTTTCTGATGGTTCAAACTGTTATTATCTTAACCAGACACACAGGGGCTACACTATATACCCGTGGACTAGACAGAAGCCAAGTCATTTAAGTTTAAAAACATCCACATGGGGAGAGCTGGTGTCAGTTGGTGCCTTGTACCCCCAAATCTCATTTTTCAGAAGCTCCCAGAGGGAGATGGAGCGCTGCATGCAGGCACAGAGAGAAGTTTGTGTGGTTCGTACATTTCACAATCACCACATTCCATCTGCATGCATTCTTCTACACCTGTCTGTGCCTGCCGCCCTCCAGTTTTCCTCTGGTTTCAAAACACCTGCTCATATGTACTGTATGGTCTAGTTGGCTCTCTACACAAACGTAAACCTGTTGTTTCCCCAATCTAAAACCAATCTCAAAATGTTCACCGCAACCATGGAGTGCTGAGCCTCTTGGTCTTGGACTCACCCGTGTTGTGTTGGGCTGGTTGCTGGGCCACTGTCTCACTGCTTGCACTGTGTCCCATGCTACGGCTCCTGTCCCCGGTGGCCTGCCGGGTCCTGCCCCTCCCAAGGCCCACGGCAGGAGAGCAAAACCTAAAGCCACCTCAGTCTTATCCAAGCAGACATAGAGCTCCTGTAACTCAAGACTGCCTTGACTGCTCACTTGTGTCGTTTAGTCTCTCCTGTCTCTGTGGACTTGCCCTCCCCCTCCTTTCAGATTTGGTCTCTCCCTCCCTCTCTTCCTCCCTCCTTCTTTCGCTTTAAAAACACAAACACACTCACTCGCGCACACACAAGTTCTTAGGTCCCTCCCTTCTTGGAGCTCTGACTTCATAAATAAGGTACGCCAATAAGGTAATCCAGCAGTCTTAGATGCCTTTCATTCCTGAGAGCAGATTTTTCATGGGCAAAGTTCACAGCAGGCGAGCTTTGAGGTCCAGCCATCAAGCCTTGAGGGATTTGCGATGCAGTGGGCCCCCCGCTAGCAACATTTCACAGACTGACAAAACACTACTCACTGAAGGACGAGGGGCGGGATCTGCGGGGTGAAGTAACACGAGAAGTGGAAGGTGAGCCGGGCCTAGGTGGAGCTCAAGGCCTGAGAACAGGAAGTGACACAGCTGAGGTGTCCGATGACTCTCCAGGGATTGTCCTTTTAAACTATGAAGTGCATGTGCAGCTTGTGCAACACTTGTATTACATATTAGCAACTCTGTTTTACAGCTACACCTGAAACAATTCTTTGCCTATATCTCTCCCAGGTTACAAATGTTTTTACTATAACTTAACTGGCACTGGTTTCAGAAAAATAACTTTGGACTAGTGTGTTTAAACTTATTATCCTATTATATTATATTAATATTACTCAATTTAAGGATATCCCGATCAGCTTTCTTTTTTGTCCCATCCAAGTCATTTAATATTAAGCATTTTCCAATACCAAGTCCCAATCTTGAACTTGTATTTTATTTGTAGATATTTCAGTGCGCAGAGCACACTTCAAGTACATTAAAGTTATTCAAATCAATCCAATGGAAACACTTGATAATTAAATAGCCCTGCATTGCATCAAGAAAACAATGCCTGCATCAAAGCTGTTCCTTGATATTTGTATTTTTTACACAATAAAATATAAAATAACAGACCTTCTCTGTAATCTTTTTGGTCTTGTCGCTGTCTGGAGGGAGTTTCGCTCTCCAGTGTTTGGTGTTTCGGAGTTACCTGAATGAACTGTCTGTATTCTGCCGAGTGATTATTTTCCTCATCTGCACATCTTTTGCACAGATTAGGTTAGTCACTCTTATTTGAGGGGTTTTCTGTTGCACTTGCAGTGGTGTTGACTGGCTCTGTAGCGCTCTCTGCTCTGAGAAGGAGTGAAACTCTGCAGCAGGCAGCTGTATGACAGCTGACGTAAAACAATCAGGTCATTAAAGCTCAATATAGCTGATACTGATCAGTTAAAAAATGCCTTGATCAGCGCTGATACCGATCATTGAGATTGGATCTGGACATGCATAATTTAATTAACTCTTTACTGGAAACATCTGCTCTTTACTAGTCCATACTGTATCTTTCTGTCCGGGGCAGGTAAAATGCCAAGTCGGGCTAATAAATGGAGCAACTGGGCAAGTGGTAAAAAATAATATAACACTGTTTTTTTCTGGAGCTGATAATGGAAGTAGCAAAGGAGAGAGCCATCTCGATTCCTTCTCGCTTCCTTCTCATCTCTGTTGAGAGCTGCAAATGCACAGTACCGACCGGGCAAAGAAGAAAATGTCAGTGGGTAAAGTTTATAAGGAGAAGCAAAGCAAGTGCTTCCATTATCCTGGAAATAGTTGGGTGGCAATAAAGGATGTGGGTGCAATTTTGTTTTGTGCAGTTTGCCACAAGTTTTAGAGCAAGCTGGATAAACAGCTGTTGTGTTTCAAAGGCACGTTGAGTGAAACTTGTCTTTTTTTATTATTTGACAACCTCTAATAAATAAAACAATTCATATAGGGTCAAAAATTGACTTGGCAAGTAGATTTGACCCACTTGTCCGACTGGTCAAGTGAAAAAAAACATTAATGCTGAGCCTGAACACATAACACCTGAGCAGGCAGGCCTTAATCTCACATACTGTACATCCTCATGCAGGACAGAAGCAGGGCAGCCAGACAGTCTGTGTCTGAACATTCCTATCAGAGCGCTGGGCCATTAGGTTATATGTAATCAGTGTGTGGGAGTTAGAGGAGCTCTCCCATGCATGTTAGTGGTAACAGAGGAGAAGTAGGAAAATGGATGTTAACCATCTTTTGTACTGCTAATAAGACAGAATTATGTTTGCAGAACATCCACTACTACTCATACTACTCAAAGAACACGGCAGTGCAATGTAATAACCCTGTTCCTACATCACTTTTTTCTCTACAGATGGTGGGATGGGCAGTGGACATTAATAGCTTTCCATAAATTGTAATACGCAACTGCTATAGCATTAGAATGTAACAGATCTAAAATTAAACTCAGTGTTTTCAGGACATCATGAATCATAGCTGACTTCATAATATGCTACATCACTGTTGCTCCCTCTGCAGTCGAAGCTACAGCATAGGAGCCCAGCTCTGACACAGGAATGTGTGGAATGTAAGACCACAAGTGGGTTTTTTGGTACTAGGATGGTAATTAGAACAACCCTGGAAGTCACTGGGAAACAAACAGGGACCACACAACCTGTGACATTTTCTAACTAATGACTCATCCTTCTCACTCTTTCCAGAGAGCAGCAGCAGAGGGAGACAAACACTTTTTTCTTTTAAACAAACCACTCTATCATGAGAACATGAAGCCCAGCTGAACAAAAACATCATCCTGATGACTCACTAAAATACTATCGCACTATGTCATCATGACAACTCCGAAGCATGCAAATACTAATGTAATGTAAGACGAGCCATCATGCTGGATGACTTTGCCCTTTCGGGTCAAAATACAAGGACAAGCTCTCCAGTTGCTCAACAGTCATGCCTTTATGTCAGAAACACATACAGTTACAGTACAGTCACTTACAGTAAAGCAGATGAGTGCAGTTTATTTTTACCGCTTGACAAAGGGGCCCGGCAGGGATGAGTAGATCAAACTTCCTTAATCTGTTCCTGTCGTGGCCCAGTTGCCTATAAAGTGATCATGGCGCCGTGCCCTGTCCTGTCTTGGCATTTCAATGGACCAAAGTGACAACTGGTCATTTCAATCTATCTCAATCCTGCTGTAACTGTTATTTTCGACAAAGTCAAAAAATAACATGGCGCCATGCCCTGTCCTGTCTTGGTATTTCAATGGACAAAAGTAATAACTGATCATTCGCTTTTAATGCTGTCTCGATCATATTGTAACTATTATTCCAACAAAGTCAAAAAATAATACTAGTTTAACTAGACTAGCTGAAATGTAAAAGCCGGTTTACTCACGAATATATTCAGACTGAACCGCCATCCCAGGTATTTTCCCCACAGATGCAAATACACAACAGTTCAGCCTAGGAACAAAGATCCTCTGGACCGCTCGAGTGTACACTATGTTGAGGTCGTCAATGATGGAGGTCAGTGGTGAAATGGACACGAGGCCATGTGTGGCAGTGAGAGAAACCGGCTCTCCTAACCTACAGGTGTGTCCTCTGGGTAAGGGCCAATCAGATAGCTGCAGTGTCAACAGCAGACTGCGTCACAGGGCCAACCCCTTCACGGACTGCTTCATAACCTAACACTTTGTTTGTTGACTCACAACTGTCTGTCATCATGATACTGTGGTTGAGATAACGCCAGTCTCACTACAGCCAACATGTACGCTAAAATAAACTTCATTAAATCAGATGGTAGCTTTCAAACCTCGTTTCATTTATTTGCTGACATATTCATCCAGCGAGGGTGAATGGAATCAAACTGGAACCAAACTGGAACTACATAGAACTACAACTAATTCTTAATTGCAGTATTAGTTAAAAATTGAGTTTTTCTTACCAGGATTTTCCATATCAGGGCACAAAACTCAAAAGAGGTCAGCAGCTCCTGTAACAAAGGAATAAATAAGCTCAATGTGAAACTTGTGACAAAATGTCAACAATATAAAACAATGCAACACATTGCTTCATTATAAGACGTGGGTGTGTCCTATTCCAACACTTCTTTGACACGGTGTACACAAATGTTTAACTTCATGAATTCTTCTCAGTTGTTGTCATCACTCTGAAAACAATCTAGCCAATCTAATTCACAGCTAAAAAAGATTACGGAAACAAAATATCATTTCATCCACACTAAAAGCTGTGGGGTTGGGGGACTGCGGCCTCCCAGAGCAGCTGATATCGAAGTTTAACTTTACAGGAACTCACATAGTTATTCTAAGCACTGAATACTCCAGATGTCCATTATTACTCAGTAAATCAATGAATGACTCTCAGGGCACTTCAACAGATTGGATGTTCTCTGCAGCTAATTGGGGCAGATTGAAGCTCAACAAAACCTCTGTTGTGTTAGCGAAGATAAGGTAGTGCATTAATTAGCCCCCACACCGACTGGAAATCCATTGTGAATCCTGCTGGACTAAAAGGCAAATCAACTAGTGAAATTCTGAATTTCTTTTAAAGAGACATGAAAACATCTGATTAATCATAGCACACTGTCATGTCCATTTATTCCAGGTGGCTCTGAGCAGATTGTGGGACTATTCATTTGTGTTTTAGGGGGCTTATTTGAACATTGCATTGTAATACAACTCTACCACGTATAACGCCAGGAAGACTAGTCACCACTTTGTGGAAGCTAATGGGGATTTAGAGATGGAAAAATAGAAGACAAATAAATAAACAATTATTAAAAAAAACTGGTAATTCAAACTATTAAATATTATTTTTTTATTATTATTTTTTTTTTAATAGCTACCTAAAACTTCAAGTAAAAACTGTCAGTGCTCAAATTGGACTACTATGCTGTTAAGCAAATGTAGCAGGACTCTTGAGACCTTTATAGTTTTATACGTGATGGTCCTGTTTATCTCAAGCAGGAATACAGCTATCAAGAGGTCTTTGTACAGGTAATTGTCCCTGTTAAAGCTACATGTAGCTTGATCTTGAATCATGTTTGTATACATGGGTATATTTCTGTTGTACTGTGTAAGGCATCTGAAACTACAGAAAACATCAAACAACTTCTAAAATACAAAAGAAATTCTAAAGAACTAAAATCAGACCTTTGAAGTCGGGACAAAAGGATTCCCAGTTGTTTCTTTTTCAAGCAAATTAAATCAGAAACTCCATGTAAATAATGCAAATGACCTCAAGATGTCACACTACAGCACACAGCAGCAAAGGTACAGAGGGATCCCTTTTGACAAAGTTGTCAAAAGGGATCCCTCCTACAGAAGCAGCAGTCTCTTTCAGCTACTTTCAATCCAATATGTAAACAGAACGATTTGCTGAACACAGCTGAGAAATGACACCAGCTTTATGTTAACAATTCAATACAGCAGTCCAATGAATAGCT